AAAAACTGTTTGAGAAATATAACTTGCCATTGATGTACAAGTGATTGCAATAGGCCTGTGTGTGTGTGTGTGTGTGTGTGTGTGTGTGTGTGTGTGTGTGTGTGTGTGTGTGTGTGTGTGTGTGTGTGTGTGTGTGTGTGTGTGTGTGTGTGTGTGTGTGTGTGTGTGTGTGTGTGTGTGTGTTGAGAAATATATACTGCAAGTGTGTGTGTTGAGAAATATATACTGCAAGGGTAGGCTATATTTATTTGATTTTTATTTGTTATTTATATATTATTTTATTGCCATTACCTGTTTTCATACAAAAGTTTAGTTTGCTAAATATATCAATTTTTTTTAGTTGGATATTGGATGTGGAAAGAAAGAAATGCTTCTTCCATAACACCTGCACTTTAGATGTGTGTGGATTTCCCACACCAGGAGTAATTTATATAGTTCTATTTTATAGCGATTATCTGTTAAAAAAAAATTCTATGCAAAATGTTCTATTAAAGAGAAGTTAGAAAATAAATATTTGTGGGCTGTAAAGTGGTTTAAAAAAAGGAAATCGGAATCGGCTAAAATCGGTATCGGCAGGTCAAACTCAAGAAAAATCGGAAATCGGAATCGGCCTAGAAAATTGTAATCGGTGCATCTCTAGTAAGATCGTAGGAAGTAACATTACTGTACTGAACGTGTCTGGAAATGTGTATTATAAACAATATGATAGTAGTGGGATGAGTGACGTTAGACAGTAGATCTAGTACATAAAATAAAAGTTACATCCTAAACTTAAAGCACCTACTTTTTGTTATCCTGGAACAGTCTTTTGTATTCATTTCATGTCTCATGTATGTTGTAGTTTACCTTGCTATTTCATTATAGTTTAACATTATTTCAGCATATCTGAAAACTTGTAATTTATCACAATAAAAATAGCGGAGGTCTCTCCATAATTCAAATGCTCTGCCGATGTTGATCCGTGTTTTCGTCCTAAGTCGATCCGATTCACGTTTGGCCTGACGAGCTTCAGCAGATACATTTTTGTTTTGTTTTGTTTTTTATATTTATGTGGAGTTTGTGTTGGAGTGTGTGTTGTGCTGGAGGCAGGTCGTTTGTTGGTGTTATCAGACTCCATGTCGTCAGCTGCAGTGCCGTCGGATAGACTGTATATAAAAGGAGAGAGGCTCGGGAGCGCGCATGCACGTCACATCCGATGGATTTCGCAGTAAATCCGACCCAGAGACTTCACATAGAAATAGGAATACCGGCCTTCAGAGGTAATAGCTAAACCCGACAAGTTGATCATTGTAATGTGTGATTACAACGCCTTCACACACAGGCAATAAAAAAAGGATTCATTTTAGAAGAAAAGTTACATATAGCACCTTTAAATAAATAAACGGTATTATTAAATTATGGTTATTATTATTATTATCATTAGTTAAAATGACAGTTAAATTAATGAAAACTGGGTTTTTTTTTGGTTGAACAAATGCTTTTACTATAACAAACTTGAAACCATTTGTTTGTTTTGTTTATTAAAATTTCAATAAAACATGTCTAATCAATTAAATTCAATAATTGATAATGAATTAGATTGACAACTTATTTTTAACATTAATAATTTATTAAAATGTTTAAGAATAATATAGTCCTATGAAATGTATTTTATTCAGAAAATTAATGTTTCTTTTTATGATTTAAACCAAATATATTATCAAAAATGGTGGTAATCAAATGTAAATTTATACTTTGTGTCCTTTTATTTTTTGGGGAAGCGCTGCAAAAACAGATTTACTAAATAAACCATGGACAAAAAATGTATATTCCTTTAAATAATGTTTAAATAAAATGTATTATTGTTGTTATTACTATTTTGAGAAGTTCGTTCTATTGTATGCCCAGAATTTCTCCTTAGTAAAACCGAACTTTTATTTTGACAGGTTGTAGTGAAGAAGACCCGTTTCAAAGTGTATTTGACAATGGTTTTTCTCAAATAAAATTATGAAAATGCTCATTAGGCGTTCTCTCAGAGCAACTCTGGAAATGTATTCATGTCCTCAAATTGTTTGTGAGACGCTGAAAACACCATGAACGTCACGCGTAGCCTACTTGAGTATGTAACGTTAGTAGACAAAGGGGCACAGCTCAGCAGAACAAATATGTTATATATTTACATAGCAGTATTTTTGTGCTTAAATATTCACAGACCATGTCGCGATTGGATTTATTGCACAGTTCTACTTTCCATGTATTCATCCATCCATTATTTTGCGTGTTTTACGTGACATCTGCGTTATGTAAATTCCATTTTCATGACTGGATTCCGGGATTCCCTCTGCATCACGTAAGTCATTCGGCCTTAAGTTACAATCATCGGGACATACCTTTATCTGCAGGAGGGATGGTGTCCTATGTATCCTCCTTTTGCAGCCACTTTGCGTCCACATTTTTTGCAAATTGGATATCTATCCTCGAGGACAACCACTCGTTTTTTTTACAAAGTATTTCCATACTGGCCATAATTCGCTTCATAAGAATTCGAGGGCGCTTTCAGCTCAGCTGGGTCTGCGTCACCTTTCTTGCGCGTTTGTTCTCCCGCCCTTCAACCAATCAATGCAGTAGTTTCCGGAGTGATTTTTTTTCTCTCCCTTGTATTATTTTTTACTCAGTAACGGATATGATTTCAAATGTAGCGAAGTACAATACTTCAAACAAAACGTACTTAAGTAAAAGTAAAAGTACAGCTTTTAAAAACTACTTAAAAAAGTAGAAGTACACAAAAAAACTACTCAATTAGGTAACGCGAGTAAATGTAATTCGTTACTTTCCACCTCTGGATTCAACAAGGTGCTGAAAGCATTCTTTAGAAATGTTGCCCCATATTGATAGGATAGCATCTTGCAGTTGATGGAGATTTGTGGGATGCACATCCAGGGCACGAAGCTCCCGTTCCACCATATCCCAAAAATGCTCTATTGGGTTGAGATCTGGTGACTGTGGGGGCCATTTTAGTACAGTGAACTCATTGTCATGTTCAAGAAACCAATTTGAAATGATTAGAGCTTTGTGACATGGTGCATTATCCTGTTGGAAGTAGCCATCAGAGGATGGGCACATGGTGGCCATAAAGGGATGGACATTGTCAGAAACAATGCTCAGGTAGGCCGTGGCATTTAAACGATGCCCAATTGGCACTAAGGGGCCTAAAGTGTGCCAAGAAAACATCCCCCACACCATTACAACACCACCACCAGCCTGCACAGTGGTAACAAGGCATGATGGATCCATGTTCTCATTCTGTTTACGCCAAATTCTGTCTCTACCATCTGAATGTCTCAACAGAAATCGAGACTCATCAGACCAGGCAACATTTTTCCAGTCTTCAACTGTCCAATTTTGAAGAGCTCTTGCAAATTGTAGCCTCTTTTTCCTTTTTGTAGTGGAGATGAGTGGCACCCGGTGGGTCTTCTGCTGTTGTAGCCCATCCGCCTCAACTGCCATGTGATTGGTTGATTACATAATTGCATTAATGAGAAATTGAACAGGTGTTCCTAATAATCCTTTAGGTGAGTGTATATATATATATATATATATACACTCACCTAAAGAATTATTAGGAACACTATATATATATATATATAGACCATATAGACCATATATAGACCATATATACATTTTGATATTTTTTTACTACTGGGTGCAGGACACTATTCATTTACATAAGTTAGGATAGTAGGATAGCGTGATGTCTGAATACATTTTGGTTTGACTGTGTATATATATACTTGTTTATTATTTTATCTTATAAACTAAACTGAACTCCTGTTGGCCTTAGAAACATAACACGTGTTAAGCCAAAATGTTTATATAATAATTCAGATTCACCCACATTAAAACAAGGGGAAGAAAAAATGTATATACATTTACGCACCTGTTGTGAATCATTCAGTATTCGACCTTTTTAGTTCAGATATGTAAGAACTTGTACAAGCTTATCAGTAAATGAGACACATTTCGGTTGACACAAACCATTTGTATAATAATTCAGATTCACCCACATTAAAACAAGGGGAAGAAAAAATGTATATACATTTACGCACCTGTTGTGAATCATTCAGTATTCGACCTTTTTAGTTCAGATATGTAAGAACTTGTACAAGCTTATCAGTAAATGAGACACATTTCGGTTGACACAAACCATTTGTATCCTTATTGCGAGGGAACGTACCCTGGGCTGGATTTTATTTCACCTGCACCATTTTGTTCTTGGATTTCGAGGATGAATTTGTCTAGTGACAGACGCGTTTGATTGGACACAGCCTTTGATGTCAGCAACAGAAGATATGGGAAGCATTTTCTTCTTTCTTTTAAAAGTTGATAAGTCTATTTTTCTTGTTTAGTTTAATCATCTACGATTAGATGGTGACTCTTTTATTTGCATTCAGCATCGTTTTTCTCTGCTGTCGACTAAGTGACAAACCAACCCGATCACACTAAATGCGTCTCTATAGCACGCATTGTGTTTATCGTGCAATATATACGCGAAAATGAGTTTTTACGTGCATATGATACGCATGGGTAGGTTTAGTAGTGGTGTCGGGTGCGCGTGTATTATACGTAACGTTGGGTAGGATTAGTGGTGTGGGGTGCGTGTGTATTAAACGCAATAAAGTGCGTATCAAATGCACGCGAAAACTGCGTGTCATGTGCACGTAAAAACTCACTTTCGCGTATAAATTGCACAGCGCGTGCTATAGAGACGCATTTTCATGACTCCTCTATAACATCTTTCTCTCTTTCTCTCTGCAGGACAATAATGCATTCAGAGAACCCAACAAAACCAGTGAGACGCCAGTGAAACACCAGTGAAACCTGCAAAGCCCAAAACACACCACAATCCTCAACTATAGGAACAGAATGGAAGATCTGGCTTCTTGACGAGTCACGATGTATGAATATCCACGGTGTGTTGACGTACCTACGTAGACGCACCAGTTGTTTCTTTCATCTTCCACATTTGGACGCCTTGCTTTTAACCTCTACTTTAATCGGCAGACCCAGTATGCCGGTCCGTGATTTGTGACTGGAGTTTGGCGAGAGCATGCGTCCATGGACGGGCTCATGGCGCTGGATAGCGCTGGTCCTGCTGGCATGGGGGACGTTGCTCTTTTATATCGGGGGTCATCTGGTGAAAGACAACGAACACGCGCCGCGCTCCAGTCGTGAGCTGGCCAAGATCCTCACCAAGCTGGAGAGACTGAAACAGCAAAACGAAGACCTGCGACGCATGGCCCAGTCTCTACGGTAAACTCCTGCTGGATTACTATAGTTCAGCTAAAAATGACTGGTTCTTTATTTTCTCATAATTTTGTCCAAAAAAAAAAAACAGCATATGGAATTGGGAACAAGGTTACAATTAGGAAATATTTGGAAGTATTCTGTTATCAGCTAAAGATGAGTGTGTCAATAATAATACTAATAGTAATATACAGTTGTAATGTATTCAGTTAAGCAGACACAATGAATGTTACACAAGGGCAGCAATTACAACATGTTCTCATATGATTACAATATAATAGGGCTGGGTAAAAAAATATCGATTTCTCGATTTTAATCGATTCTCATTTTTACCAACCGATATCGATTCTTAAATCCCAAGAATCGATTAGGTTATCCTGTTTTCAGTTGACGAATGAATGGAACATTGTAGCGCTCATCCCATCCAATATATCGCAAAGTCTCAGATTTCTAAGTACGTCCATTTTCTTACGAAATTCAAAAACATACCATTTTGACGCTGTGGCGTGAGATCGCTCGGGCTCAGCTCAAGAGAAGCAGATCTTCTCTTCCGCCTTAATAATACCAGTTACAGCGCGAAATTGACATGAATGAGCACCTGAAAGTGTGTTAAAAGATAGAGTACAACTTATCGAAATCCGTATCATGTCACATGGAATCGCTCAATCAGTGTTTCAACCGTGGAAAGACGTCAGTAAAACAGCGTCATGTAACGTCACATTTACCTCAGAAAAACCATGTGTGACCATAAACTCGTTAGTCAGCTAGAAAAATTAACTCTAGAGAGGAGCATTTAGCTAAATATATGCACCATATTACATATTAATTATAATTTTTAATGTTCTTCAATATTTAATGCATGTTTGAATAAATCTGACAAGTTTTTATGACAGCCACCATTTAAATGTTTATATTTCATATACCTTTATTATTATAAAAATAAATAAAAGTGTAATTTAAGTGTTTGTATAAAAATCAGTATATAATTATAATAATATACAACTGACTCCCATAGTTTACAGCATTAGTTAAGAGATTTGTTTTCCTTGAGAAAATTTGCCATATAGCTATTGTACCTGATATACAAAATAATCAATATTGCATCGAACCGAATCGGAATCGAAATCGAATCGAATTGCAAGCTGGTGAATCGAAATCGAATCGAATTGTGAAATTTGTGTCAATGCCCAGCCCTACAATATAAGGATAATATTTGACATGTTGTTGTACTATATTTATACTATATTTATTATAACATTTAACAGTGTATGTTGATCCTAAGTTGGCATCATCGCAGGTTATTCAGTGCAGGTTATTCAACCATTCAAAGTAGTTAAATTATCTTAATTTCAGGGATTTCCGCAGTAAAAATGGACTTATGCAAGTATGCAAACTTTTAATCGATTTACAGTCCGCTATGCATGAAGATGCATTGTGCTTCTATAGTTTAAATTGATTGATATGTGTATGGTTTGTGATATCAAGGCTGTGTGCCCTGCCACTAAAGACCCTCTCTAACATTTGCAGTATTTGACCCGATTCTGTCTGATGTGAGTTTAGTTCCCTGGGAACAACATTTGCTCTTAACAGAACAAGAGAAAAGAAACCGTATGAGCTTCTATAGAAACACAATCCCATGTTCTTCTGAGCAAAGCTGAGCCAAACAGTCGAAGATTGTGGTTCTCAAGCAGGCTGCAGAATGACTTCAAGTTAAAATTATATGTATTATTATTTATACAATGATTTAATATGTAAAGTCATTTATATAATATAATTAATATTTGGACAATCAAATATTAATATATTTAATTATATTATATATTTAATGTTTTAATATTAAAGTGTAAATTGCAGGTAAAATTTTTCACGAAGATAATGCAATGTGCTTACTAAATATAAAGATAAGAACCGCCCACCATTGTTTTTTTATGTTTTTTATACCAAAATGCTGAATATAATATGAAAAGTTGGTGCGTTTTACAGTGGTTTTAAGCACGCCCCCTCCCTTCCACTAGGCTGGGCGTGACGTCATAAAAGGTACTCCAAGCTTTTACTGTCTATGCTCCAGGCCTGGAGTTACGTTATATTGGAGACCTAGCTAGCAAAAATGGTTGTTAACTATTGTGTTTGTGCGGGATGTACGAATACATCAGAGGCTCCACAAGTTCCCCAAGGACAAACGGCTGATTCGTGCCTGTAAGTGTTAGCATAACTTTCCCGAGGTAGAGCTTAGATCGGGCCCAAAAAAATCAAGCAAGACCCTACCCGAGCCCGCTGTGTCCGAGCCCGGTCCGGCCCTGCCTGACACATTAACTGTAATTATGAGCCCGGTTTAAACCCGACTATTTTTTAATACGTAACGTCGGTCGTTATAACTGACGTTCTCAACTACTTTCTATATTACTTTCTCCCGCCCGCAACATTTATGTTTTGTCCCGCTCCCACCCGCAAAAAGACTTTTTTTCTGTACCTCCAAATACTTTCAAGTTAGCCTACGTGTCGCCACCATACACATCAGCATAAATGCTCCTGATCACTGTTATAACATAAAAGCAAGCGGGCTACTGCGTGCATGGTTTGGCATGACTGCGCGCAAAGTGCGCTCCCATAATAATTCCTAAAAAGCTGACATCAGTTCATCGCGATCTCACACATCTCTGTTATTATCAATGAATCTTTCATAATATATACACTGTTTGTTATAATTAGAGGATTTGCCAGCATACGTAATTCAACACTGAACAAAGAGTCAGTTTTGAGCGGTGAGGGGAGTCTATCGTAAATGCTTCTGATTGGCCATTATTGCGTTCAAGAAATCAACACATATGTCTGTGATTGGCTACATCGCTCAACACTGCAGACATGTTAGAAATAGAAACTCTGCCTGTAAACCGTTTCTATTTTGTTTTAGTTGTTCTTATTGCTTTTCTGCAACAGATGAATAAAAATGTATTCGTTTTTATGTTTTATTCATAGATATTTCTAGTTTGCGGGAGTCCCGCGAATCGTTTTATTCTCCCTCAACCGGCACACACAGAGTGAGTGCATTACCGCCCGCGCTCCCTTTTATGACGTCATCACCCAGTTACAGTAAAAAACATGCTATCTTTGAAGAAACCTCAATAAATGTTATTTTAACGCATTTTAAGACAGAAATTTTTACATATATACACATTGAGCACTTTAATTTACACATTAATTGGTTGTGGTGGTTAACCTGCAATTTACACTTTAAATACTATTATTTTGTAAGGTTGTATTTTGTAAGGGGGGGGGGGGGGGGTTACATTTTAATTACAAAAAAACATTTTTGTAATTAATATTTATTATTAATTTGAATTACCTAACTTAGTTAAAATGTTAAAAAGCAAGATGTATACTTAAATCGTATTTATTTTCCCTCAATAACTAATGTTTCTCTTCAAGCACATGCAGTTCTCGCTGTACAGAGTCAGACAGGGAACAGATTTATGACACGTGACTCAGAACATGAGGAGTTTTGCAGGATATTCAGGAGAGATGTGTTCTGAAGTTCTGATGGAGAAAGTCAAGATTTATAAAGAGCTTAGAGGAGTGAAGACAAATGTGGCCCTCTCAGATGATGTTAGAGAAAGCGGGATATGCTGAGGACCTGGTTGCCCTGGATAAAAGGGGTGTCCCATTATGCTTTTCCCCATGTTCATCTTTCTTTAGTGTGTAATGTTGCAGCTCAAAGTCCCTCCAGCGGGAGTTCTTCTCTATATCAGTGTCAGTGTTTCTGAACTCCTGAAACGCCTCCATTGTAGTCTTGAGTTTCTTCCGGGAACAAACACGTCACAATATTCCTCATTTAAATAATTAATACGCAGAATAAAGGGGCGGGGCCTGGTTGAGTTAGTTAGTAGTGTGTTGAAACTGGCGGTTATGGGAAGAGTGCACATTTCCCAAACACACTCAAAGTGCTTGACCAATCACAACACGCTGATCCAGCCGACCAATCAGAGCACAGTGTGCTTTTCAGAAGGAGGAGTTACATAGACACAGGAACTAAACAGAGCGTTACTGGCAGACTGGGAAGAGAGGAGCCGCAACAATGGAGAATATGGAAAAAATTATGTGTTTTTGGAACATTCAAGCATGAAAAGTAGATTCTATTAGACCCCAAAAATAAAATCAAGACTTTGTAAAAGTGCATAATACAGCCTCTTTAAAAAGATCATCAGTGAAGTAGGGCTGCACAAATTAATTCGAAAAATAATTACAGATTAAAGCTGCCACAAGTAGTTAATTGTGAAAAGTGTTGGTTACAGCATTAAAGTGGTAGTCCCACGACTCCCACCATAGTGCTGTTTTGTAAGGGGAGTGTGCTTGAAACTGAACCTGTGTTTGATTGTCTGTAACACACAAGCAAATAGTTCCTCAAAAACAGCTCTTTATGGATCCTTGGAGTCGAGCTATTGTCCATAAGCAGTGAATAAAGCTGCTTTGGTCATTTGTCTTTGTCAGGCTGAAGGAGAAGCATCTGTTTCAGATATAAATCTTGATCTGATCAATGTATTCTGTGCTTTAATTCCAAACAGATCGTCCAATGTGGCTCTTATGTGTCTTTCGGCCTCATTCAGGGTCCCAGTCTCACATTGATCGGCTCTAAACCTGGAGGTCCACAATATCAATCCCGGGATCTCTGATAGATCCAGACTGTGTCCTTGGACTGTGGAGCTGGACGAGTATTAATTATAAAACAGCTGCATTTACTGGTTTTATCAGGCCAGATTCATTAGAACTTGAGTGAGTGAGTGAGTGAGTGAGTGAGTGAGTGAGTGAGTGAGACAGTGAGTCAGTGAGTGAGTGAGTGAGACAGTGAGTGAGTGAGTGAGTGAGTGAGTGAGTGAGTGAGTGAGTGAGTGAGTGAGTGAGTGAGTGAGTGAGTGAGTCAGTCAGTCAGTGAGTGAGTGAGTGAGTGAGTGAGACAGTGAGTGAGTGAGTGAGTGAGTCAGTCAGTGAGACAGTGAGTGAGTGAGACAGTG